TGTTACTAGAGTAGCGAGATGCGTTTGTTACTAGAGTAGCGAGATGCACTTGTTACTAATTAGTCCAGTCTCCACGGTGAATTTTCATGCGTTTTCAATCGCGATCGAAGGCGACCACCGGGCCTCTTGGACGGAAGCGCCATGGTGGAGCCGTCGGGAAGAGTCTTCAGATGTTGCGGGGCCAACGAGACGATCCCGGTTAAAGGGCAGACATGGCCGTTCAATGTTTGTTTGAATTAAAGTTGTTGGGAGAAGTGTTCAAAACAAAAGAATTCCAAAACATATACCCTGGGAATCCAAGACTATTTTTTAAAACGGTCTTATCGGTGATCCGAAAAGGAAGTTCCTTTACTTGGGTGGTGCCAAAAATGGTCTTTGGACTTCTAGTGTATAGCTCTTGCTTCGATTGCTTGTCCTTATGGACCTCACCTAGAAAACCTCCATGCCTTACCCAAAGAGTGTCACTCACCGGGGGGTTTGCAAGCTGTTTGCAGCCTCATGGCACTCTCACACCGTTGGCCGGGTGTGGGGCGCAGCTCGCTGAGGAGTTGCCACGGAGTGGTGGAAAATATGGGAGCAGGTCCGTTGGGAAATACCTGCGAAGACCCCATACGCCACCCATCACAACTCAGGGCGTTTGAGGCCAACCTGCCATGGTGATCGGCAGATGACAGTGAGACGATGAGCTAAAGTGCTCACTGGCGCCCTTTGCTTTACCTAACTAGCTGAGCTAACTCTGAATTCAGATAGGAAAGGTTTACAACTCTAAGCTGCAGGAGGGGAGGCCAACCGAGATCCTCAAGTGCTCTTTGAGCCAAATCGAGGAATCTTGCTGTGCGCGGTTCATGCTCAATTTGCCGTGCGCGGTTTCCAATCGTAGATCCTTGCTTGGATCCCTGTCCGTTGCGCAAGCCGGTGGAGCCCAGCAACCTGCAGTGCGGCAAACTGTACAAAGTGAGTGATGCACTGCCTCGGAATGCTGGACCAGAGCATGTTCAAACCTAGAGGCCAAGCTCCTCCCACCTGCGGACCAGGTCGTTGCGGACCCGTACCCTTTGGGGACCTTGGTCAGTGCCTGCATGTGCCTGCTGTTACCACTCCTACTGCTACTCCTACTCCTCTTCCTTCTATAGTACTATTGCTGCGAATTGCTGCTGCTGCTGCTTTTGCTTTGCAAAGTACTAGCTTCACTGCTAGGGGTATAGGGACGCCCCAAGAATTTGCAGTGGTTTCATGAACATGGGATGGCCAACTGTCTGTGTTTCGAGGAACTTTTTCGGTGTGGGTTGGATGGTGGATCTACTTTGCCTACCGCATCTTAGCTGCAATGTGTCATGCGCTTGTCAAGCCCACAAACCACTGGAGGAAGGTAGTCTTCCAACAAATCCTGGTGACCTTTGGGTGTGCTTCTTGTGGCGTTGGGGATTAAGTCACAATAAGTACGTGTTTGGAGATTCCAGGATTTGCGAATTGGACTTTCACAATTACTTTAGACTTTGGATCGCAAGATAATGCTCCACCTTGTGATGGGTCTTTCATGACGATTTACTTGCTTTGTGTGAGCCGAAGAATCGAAGTATAGACATAGACAGTATAGATTTATAATAGGTAGATTCACCCACTAACCTCGAAGAGCCGTGAATCCACTTCTTCCATCCCTCCACCCGGAAGGAATCGAGTTCATTGAAATTGGTTGTACGGGTTGACCATGGTTGGCCCCTCAAATTTTGGATTTCCTTCACAAGAATCAGCACAGCACTCCTGTTTCAGATAATGTGTAATATTATATAATATATATATGTAACACGAGGTATGTTGTTTGAGCCAAAAAATTGAAGACCTGATGTTTTTCTGGTAAAAACAGACCGTCATGGAGATCAGGTGATTCTGTGGCTTGACTAGAACTTTCTGTGTCGGGACACCGAAGAGTGATAAGAGCGCATCTCGGGTGGGGTGCGGTGCCGGCACAGGTACTACACCAGCTCCTTCAACCGAACGGCCACTGCATCACGAGATCGAAGCTGTGGCAGGTCGGACGGGTGAAGACCGGAGACGAACGAAGACAGGACGCGCTGACGGAATTTTGGGTCGGGTTGGGAAGGCGCGGTGGGAGAGGACCGGACTTTCGGCCAGTTTGCATGGGGTACCTTTTCATTGCTCGAAGTAGGATGTAGACTCGTGACAATATTTCATTTACAATCCATGTTTGGGGAGCTTTTGTTTATTATAAGATGATGGAATTTCAAGAGTCTATACATTATATGCAGCTTAGACCTGGAAGGTTGGAAGGCCGAGTGAACACTGCGGGTTACTGCGCTTCAGAGGCAGTGAAAGGAGGACTTGCATTCTTCACCAATCCATCTGGAATTTCAGGGGCGCCACATTGATGTTCCCTTCTCAACTTGAATGACGAGCATCACACTCGGTTTGCCATTCCACCACTATGGGTTTGTTTGGGCTTTTCGCCTCTCACATTAGCATCGGCGCTCCTCGGTATGTTGGGCGCTGCCAGGCTTTGCTGCTGCTTGCCCTTGGTCCAATGCGCCCCTCAGCGGAGCTTGCCGTCCTGAACTCGACCGCTGCACGGCTGCGCACGATTCCCGAGGTCGTCATACTCGTGGTCTGTGGCATCGCCTTGGGCGCAGGGAGGCCCAGGAGGTTGGAAGACTTTTCTGATCTTTTCTGACTGAAAGAAAAAAGAGAACAAAGCAATGCTACTAGGAGCTCCTGGCCTTACTACTAGGAACAAAGAACGCTACTAGGGGCTCCT